TAGTAATGGATTTTGTCCCCATGACTATGTACAACGTCTTAAAGCATTATAGCAATTCGAATCAACGGATGCCACTCATCTATGTCAAACTCTACACATACCAGGTTACAATATTTTGTATTTTCTTTTCTCAGTAACTTCTGAACAATTCATCTCAACTCAGATAAAATTACACTCATTTTGCAGTTATTTACGGGGCTTGCATATCTCCATACAGTTGCAAGGGTCTGCCATAGGGATATAAAACCGCAAAATCTTTTGGTAAGCTCAACTTTGCTACGCTTCCTGCCCCAAGCCATGTTCCCCATGCACTCTGCTCAATTGAGTTGGACCTTTTGGTCAATTTTGCTAAAGTAAAGCTACGTGCTTTCTACAGGTCGATCCTCTTACCCACCAGGTTAAGATTTGTGACTTTGGAAGTGCTAAGGTTCTCGTAAGTTTATTTCCTTGAAAGTTGGGCCTTCTCTTAATTTATTAGTTATTCCAAGTCCTTGGCAGTTGAAAGCTCCCTGTTAGCAATTCTGTCAAGGCCTCTTTTTTTATGCTTCTACCATGGTTGCATGTGTCTGTATATTCATATGTTGATCACGTCTTTACCCATTCTTTCTCTTTTTCTTCTGTTAGATGCCGATTCATTATTATCTTATGCTGGATATGCACTACCATATGTATTGAGAGCTAACCGAAAAAATGTAGACAAGAAAAACTCTGCAGCTTTATAGCACGGACACTTCAATTAGGGTAACGTGTCCACGTGTCGATACCGACACTTCTATGACACTCTACCATAATCAGTTTTCTTTTTATATTAAAAATATTATATATTGTTAATTCAAAATTATTAGCAAGTAACAAATAGATACTCACGTTTAAAAGATTTAACAAGAAAATTAATAACAAGTATAAAACTAAATTTTTACTATATAAATGAATAATTTTTAAAAATTTAATCAACGTGTCGATGACGTGTCGTGTCTATATTTTTTTTAAAAATCGCGTGTAGACTTATCCGACACGTATCGTGTCGGACACACGTATCCGTGTCGATGCATCATAGCTCTGCAGTGTCTTTTCGATGTTGTTAGGCTGCACAGAGCTTTTGGGGAACAAAACCTAAAATCCTATCACCCTTGAAGACAGATAAAGTTTGGTGAAGGTGAGAAAACATCAGTGAAGAGATACTGTTTTATTGAAATTAACGTATCCATGTTACTTATGCCGACCAGTTTTTAACGAGTGAGGTTCAATTCACACTTTAGTGCAATAGGAACAAATTGATTTCCATGGGACTCCAGGGCTGTTTTACTGCTTTGATTTGCTGCCAAAACAAGGGTATAGCCTTATATACATCAATTCTTGATCGTTGTCGTCAATGCCCATGATTTATCTAATTAGGGTATTGTAGTTTTGAAATGCTATTTTGTTTATTAAGCATCTCTTCACGTAGATACAGCACTTCTACTTCAGTTGTTCTTTTGAGGATCTGTATTTCTTCATTTGTCCACTGAGAATTTGCTGTAATCAGGTGCCTGGTGAAGCTAATATATCCTACATTTGCTCTCGTTACTATCGGGCCCCAGAACTCATCTTTGGTGCAACAGAATATACGACATCAATTGACATTTGGTCTGCCGGCTGTGTCTTAGCTGAGCTGCTTTTGGGGCAGGTCTGTAACCTCCATATCGATCTTGCATTTCGCTGAGTGGTATATTATTCTATTGTGTTTTCTTACTTTCAATAACCCTCATTTCTTTATTTTTTACAGCCACTGTTCCCTGGAGAAAATGCAGTCGATCAACTTGTAGAGATTATCAAGGTTTGACATCCTTTCTAATTCTACATTTCCATGGATCAGATGACTACACTTGTAATGATGTCATCATATATACTAATTGGAAGACTTTCTCTAATAGGTTCTTGGTACACCAACTCGAGAAGAAATTCGATGTATGAATCCAAGCTATACTGATTTCAGGTTTCCCCAAATTAAAGCCCATCCATGGCACAAGGTATGCCTGCGCTTGCTACTCGCTATTCTCTTAGTGGTACCATAAAATTTCAGTGTCAAGTGAATAGACCGAATTATTTGGTTCAGGTTTTCCATAAGCGGATGCCTCCTGAAGCCATTGATCTTGCCTCACGGCTGCTTCAGTACTCACCAAGTCTTCGCTGCACGGCGGTATGTATAAATCTTGTATATCTCTTCTAAAGTTCTAACATCAACTGACGATGAAGATTTTATATTTGATCTCTCCTATTCGTCAAATATGTTTATACCAAAGACACCCATTCCCAGAAGAAATTCAATTTACAGTTCAAATAGAAATGTTGACAATATAAATCTTCTGCGCAGTTTCATTTTTGATGCTTGTCCTTATTTGTTACCAAATTTGTAAAATTGCTGTTTCTATCACTGCAGCTAGAAGCATGTGCACATCCTTTCTTTGATGAACTTCGTGAACCTAATGCCCGCCTTCCAAATGGCCGCCCTCTCCCCCCGCTTTTTAACTTTAAACAGGAGGTATGGTTTCTAACTACTACTTTATTTCTGTTACCTCTTCGGTAATAACATTACAACTTTCATGATTGTTTTCCATCAATTTAAGAGAGGAGAGAGATGTGGTGAAGAGGGAGACTAGGTTCCTATTTGGAGTAAAAATGATGATGGAAAGATCCAAGTATGGTTTGGGCGTGGACCCATATAAACATGTACATGGACCATTTGAACTGATTTTTTAGGCCAAGTTATTGATAGAAATTACTTGGCCAAGCAACCCCATTCTTTTTCCAAATCACAGCGACAAAATCATAACCCCATAAAAATGAGTATAACGTGTCTTCAGCATATGTCTGTCCTCTTTTGAACATTCACATGTCTGCTGTCAGTGTCATCCATATTTGTTCACGTTCTTGCTTGAGTGGGACAGACTAACAATTCATTATACATTCGTTGAAAAAGAAACGAAAACAAACCTGAACCGTGCAGTTGATCAACTAGAGCTCGAAATAGAAAAACATGAACTTGGAAAATAAACAAGGTGAAAAATATTAGGGAAATAGAGAAGAGGATGAACGTAGTTGAATGTAAGCTGAAGTGATGCATTTCTGATTTCTTATTGTTTGCTGGTTATTGATTGAACTTATAGGTTGTCACTATAATACCGTGGTAAAATTTGATGTTGGGCTTTGTTTAAGCGTCAGAGGGTGTGTGATTTCGGATCATAAAAGTCTTATATCAGAAGAATAACTAAAAGCATTCTATTGGAGCATGAAAATTACAACTTTTCATTTGTGATCAAGTGTTAGATTTTGTACTCTTTTCTGCCATCCTTATCTTGAAAGAACTTCAGCTAGATCAATTTTTGTGTTAATAAATTTGAAGATCTAAAGAGACAAGTAAGCTAGAATTTATTGCTGCATTTCCTTCAAGAATCAGAGTATGCATGATTTTCAATGATAAAAATCTTCTCTCTAAAGAATAACAAAAATTATTCTGTTCGGAGCCTGAAAATTTTTGATGTTTGATTTATGACTGAGCCGTTACCAGGTTATCCATTTGCTGCTATCCTTATTTCAAAAACAATTCTAACTATATATTTTTGTGTTTCTGAGTTCAAGAACGTGTATAAAGACAAGTTGAGCTAAAATTCTTATTAATTACGCTGTTTTTTCTGCAGAGCTTTAGTTGCCATTTACATTTACAGAGTCCATTTTGGGTTTCTTCATATTAGCAGTGAACAATCTCAGGATTGATTAGACAATAGGTCGTTTGACTATTATGATAGCTACGCTTTGGGAAATGATCACAGCATGTCCCCAATTCTCAGCACTTAAGGCCTGTTTGGAGGGTTTTTGTTTTTGCTTCTACTTTTTGTAGAAGAGCTTCATGAGGAAGCTACGTCAAGCCATCGTCCTATAAAAGCTCTTCTAACAATGGACATAACACTTTTAGAAAATCATCTAAAACATGTTTAAAAGCAGCTTTTTAGTCTCAGACTTCTTTTGGATTTTCAAAAGCCATGCCACTGTCCATGTTCATCAGTTCTTTCGGTCGCTGTCAATTTAATGTTTTAGTGAAGAAGTTTGCTCGAGTAGGCATTTTATATTATAATCTTATTGAATCTGAAGCTGCTTGAGTATGTGTTAGTTGACGTCAAAATTTAGGACCTACAGGTAGCTGTAAAAGTAGAAGAGTTTTTTTGGTTGGATCTTCTAATTGATTTAAAACACTGATCTTCATGCTTTTTGATATAAACCCTGATCATGTTCCTCCCTATGGTTCAAATTTGTCGATTGAATTGTGGTTCTTAAAAATGCTGGGATTGATAGTGTCTTAAGCTGATGTATTTGATTGAAGCTGAATGGAAAGGGACTTATCGGTTATTTGGGTTATAGAGAAGAACAATGAATTAAACAATGAACACGTGAACCTTCCATTACGTTCAAAACTAAACGAAGCCTAAAACAACTCGAGTAGTAGGATAATCATCAAGCATGCAGTTATTGATAATTTAACATCAGATTCTCCTGATTGCAGTTGGCTGGAGCATCACTTGAGTTGATCTACCGGCTGATTCCTGAGCATGTTCAGAGACAAGCCAGTATGAGTTTTCCACATCCTGCTGGGACGTGATTATTGCTACAACATATTGTACTCGTAGTCTATTATGATCAGGTGTTTTTCCCGCTGTGCCTCCAAAATGTGTTAGCATGTATGAGGTTGTTCGGGTTAACTGGTAAGTTGGAATGTATAGTATGTTTGCTGAGCAAAACGAGTTTTCATAGCTTCTGTATATTCTTTTTGGTGGTAATGTAGTACAAAAAACTGTGTTATGTCAAACTGATCATATTTCGAGGGGGTGCTGTGTAGTTTTCCCCGTTCGCGTTATTTACAGTGTGTTAAGTTGTAGCTGAAAGTCCAAAATTTTCCTATTTCCCTTCCTCCCTATGTACCTATTTATTGTCTAATAAAATGGTGACGTGATTGCAAAATTTTGAAATTGGCGATGCACAAGTCCTGAGTATGCTTCGTACCGCTGATGTTTGAACATGATATTTTTATTTTTTTGAAACATGATTAGATGACATTAACTTGAAAATGTGAGACGTCAGATTGCTCTCAATTTTTATCGTTTATGTACAATATGAAGCTAAATTTAATTTAGTGACAGAGCTATCAGAATGATGAACACAAAGTAAATTGAAATTCAGTAATCTATAATTGAGACAAGTTAAAGTTGGCTCGAGCAATGGGGATTTCACTGTAAGTTCCATAAAGACCCTTATACCCTAGTCCCAATCTTACCCCGGAGGAATATGTGGATCTAAAAGATCTTTGATACCGCGTCTAATCCTGAAATTCGTTCAATCCATATCTAGTGACCAAAAATGAAATTAATGCTCGAACATCAACATAATCAACTCAAAAAATGGATAGCAGAACAAGGAAACTTTCCTTATAAATTAAATGTTGAAAAATATGCAGTTACAACATGGTTTTCTCTTAATAGATTGTAACCTCTGGAACCAAATTAATGAATTATTACTACACTAGCTACAAAGGGCATACAGAAAATTTATCCAACAAATCAAGAGAATTCAAATTATTAGCTCTTGATCAATTTCTGTCTTATTATTGAAGGCCTAATGAACAATCTGGGGAACAATGTGCATAAAAGCCAGTTGATATCCTACAAGGATAAGAGATAAGGAACGCTAAATCTCATGTACAAGTCTCAACTCCCTAAGCCGATTTTGTGACCTCATGAATCGCATTTGCCAAATAACCAACGTTCCCCGTAGTGACTCCAGCCATACTGCGTTAACGTTACATATTGGAAAATTTGCACCCAAAAATAAAAAAAAAAAAAAGACAAAAGGGAGAAAAATTTGAAAATTTAGCAAAAGATGTATTACCTAATACGGCCATTACGAGTCATGTAAATGTGAAATTCCTTTGTCAAGCGATCAACTTGTTCAGGGGTCATCCCACTATAGCAAAACATGCCAATCTGTTCGCAATAGTAAAAAATGATTGTAGAATTCATATTGATAGTATTTCGAGAAGTTACACATAGAAACAGAAAAAAAAAAAAAATCTGGTGATTAATAAATTGGCAAACCTGCTTGGTTATGTGCTCCCACGAAAGAGGCGAACCTAACTTTTCTAGGTTTTCTTTCAAAGCACTTCTCATTCCAATGATGCGATCAGCCATTCCCTGGAGGAAGAACTTTCTATTAGTGCTTTCGTGATATAAAAAATAGCTTACTATGAGGCACCGATCAGAAAATGTTGTCGTGCATTCAAACAGGTATCGATTAACAGTTTCCTTTCAAGATCAACTTCAACTCGGTCAATAAAATCAGCAAGACCCTTACTTTAAGAGTTCCAACAGAATCACGTCTTGCCCGCATAATTCTATCCTGCACCAGAAGTCAACATCTTGGGTGTCTCCAAATTACAAATATTATTTAATTCTACTTAGATAAGGGAGTACATTTGGAATGCTGATTGCTAGTTTAACAACCCAAGAAATTGTTTCGATTCTAACAAATAACGAACTTCTTCAAACAAATTGTAATAGTACGAAGGTCAACTAAATATTGCAGAAGTGAAGTTGTAACTTACTTTTACTTCTTTCAGCCATAGTTTCTTCAACTCTGGATCGCCAAGAATGATAGAAACAACGAGGGCGCCATGAACAGGTGGATTACTATACATAGGTCTTGCGAGCTGCTGCAACTGACTTTTAACCGCAACAGCTTGTTTCTCATTGTCACAAACTACACTGCAATAAGTGAAGGATAGGAGTATATTTGATTCTTGCTCTAGCTGAATTTCAATATTGAAAAATGAAAGAGAAAGCAAACAAGAAATATAAATGAATGTTTATATATGAAAATGCACATATATAACAAGAGTTATTGTATACATCAAGAACGATAGTTGTCATTTTCTTACAGAGCGACTTTTAGGTGGTTAATATTCACAAAATTGAACAAATTTGCCCTTGAAATTGAGCCAATGGGAAAATGAACTCTTAATTATTGCATGTAATTGCTAGTTCAAAATATCAAATCTAGGCACTATGCAACTGGATGAAAAGCAGTAGCAAGTAGCCCCTGTTAAGAATTTGTTACAGGCTTGTCACGAGACTTTCACTCACAGGAAGTCAGTTACAACAACGCTTAGGATGATGGCACACTGGTAGAAATGAAAATTTTATCATCTATGGTATGTCATCTTAGTATATTTTCTGATTTCGTGCATGCTTTTTCACCATGCTATTGCATGAAATGGCCTGCTTTCAACAAAAATTCCAGATCAAGAAAGGTTGTCTGTTTTTTCAAGCTGACTGCAGACGGTCCTGGCTAAGAATTAACATTCCCGTACACAACACAGACATAAATTCATGAATATATGCAGTTGGATATATGTCATTGAAAATATCAAAGATTCTTGGTTAAGAGTTCAGTACATAGTTAGAAGTACCTCAGGCAACCCACTCTCTGGCCATAAAGTCCCATATTCTTTGCATATGATTGGGCACATCCAATCAAATGGCCATCCTCTAGAAAAATTCTAATAGACTTGGCATCCCTCTCTGGATCACCACTAGCAAAACCTTGATATGCCATGTCAAAGAAGGCAAAGTGCCCCTTGACCTGAAATAATATGTATTTACTCTATAATCTTTGAACAATGATTTAAAAAGTAACACGCACCACTATCATAGAATGCAAACCTTGAACTGGTGTGAGATCTCTCGCCATTGTTCTTCTGTAGGATCCACTCCAGTTGGATTATGAGCACAAGCATGAAGCAAAAAGAAAGACCCATTTGGTGCACTCTGTTCCAATAAATTAGAAGAAAATTCACACAGTAGGCATAGAATATTGCTACTTGTAATTAAAAAATAAAAAATAAAAAAATTTGAGGCCAACTTCGAGCTTTCTTACCTTTATGTCCTCCATCATTGAAGCAAAGTCCAAACCCCGAGACTCTGGATGATAATAATGGAATGTGTTCTGAGGAACATGAGCATCTCTCCATATGTTGTGATGACTGATGAAATCCAGCAATAAAATCATGATTACTTGACAGAAACAGTACTTTGAAGCAAAAATAAAATAAAATAAAATCATGACACATGAGAGTAATGGAAGAACATTGCGAAAATGTCAGTTTATAACCAAATAAGCATTAAGCAATAAGCACACTGCAGACATGAAAGAGACAGATTGAAGAACAATACTAACTTCGCCCAGGTGGGAACTGGAATGTAGATTTGTGAATGAGGGGAAAAACGCTTTTGGAAATCTGCAAAGAGCCGGCATGCACCAGTCCCAGAGAGAGCCTGTACAGCTGCAATCCGCTTCTCTTTGATTAAGTCAGAGTTCTCCCCATACGCCAGCTTCAGAGTCTCCTCTACCATATTTACACTTCCTCCCATGGGAAGATATTCCCTGGAAAATCAAGTCTTGTAAGTCTATTTACAATTGAACGAAAAGTGTGAATAAATGAATACATTAGGTCACAGATGTCAGTAAATATCCCTATAAGAGTCAGTAGGGTGACTCAGAGACTTGTCATTATAATAATGGCACTTATCTGATTTGCTTCATTGCTTTAATGAATAACTAGAGAATATGTGTGCTGAACGCATCAAAAATAGCAGAGTTACAAACAAATGATGTAGCTTCACAGAGGGAAACTAATGACACTCTCTCCCTGAACTAAAGTAGTTATTGCAGTAAGACCTACTCCCCTGGAAACTTCTCAGGAAGAGGCCTCATATGGGAAACCCTTAAAACTGTTAACAAATACAGAAAAGATGATAAAAGCAACTTAGATTTCCATTTCTGCATCTCTTTTTATCTAGTAAAGTGTCTATCGTACATCTTACATTATGCAACTATTTCTGATTGCAACGTACCCACAAATATTCACATAGCCATGCAAAATTTCCACATCTTGATTTTATTTTTAATTTTTCTTTTATTGGATACTGACAATCTTCTTTAGATGAAAATATAATATCATCTCTGCTAACATGATAAACACTATAACTACGAGTCATCTGCTCCATGGAGATCTCCTAAGCAAATGAATCAGCTATTGCAGTCAGAGCAAGACGTCATTTCCAACACATCACAAGCAAACATTTGTTTGACACTGCTAGTGATCTACACATTATTTTCCTAGAAAACTTACTCTAAAGTCTTACGAGTAAACTAGCTTGCACCCCTAGGCCGTAATATATATGCATCAGACCTTCAAATTGGACATGGTTTTATGATGGATCACGTCTTAACAAAATAAGTCAAATCAGATCTAATATTTCACTTTAAGCCCCTGTTTGGTACACATTAAAATTTTCATTTTCATTATTCTACTTATTTTCAACCACACATTCTTCAATAAAATAATATTTTCCATCACATCAATAATTTTCCTTCTTTTTCAACCACAAATTCTCCATCAATCTATTATTCCAGAATACATTCTTCCAAAATAATGTGGCTCAAACACACCCAATGTAATAGTTTCCTGGGAATATTATGTCAAATACAACTTAGTATCCACACTTAAGCACACAATTCATATATGCCACCAAAATAATGCACCAGCACTGCCATCTTATATAGAGTAATTTTTTATATCATTTATCTACAACAATTCTTCATCACTTTTTCCTGATGGAACAAAGGTGTGATATAATGAGTTTGCTGACGAATATGCTACTTGCTTGGGAAAAAAAAAAAGAAAAAAAAAGGCTAGTGGAAAATGAGCATGGATCAAAAGTTAATCCACTGGCAAAAGTAGAAGGATCAAAATGGCTAGTGGAAATGAGCATGGATCAAAAGTTAATAACATGGGACCACCACAACAGCTGCAAGTTGCAATCAGAATGCATAGAGATACACAAATAGAGGTCCATTTTTCTTACACGCATTGAATACATCTCTTGGCCCTTAACACCTCCTGTGACAATGATATATGATGGTTAAATTTCATCCACTTTCATTTAACTTTTAGTTAAATCTCAATCTAGTTACTCAACTTTAGTTTGTCACAATGGTCAATTGATCTTTGATTCAATTTCTGATTCACCACTCCATCACCTTCCGTCACCTACGGTCCCCAAAACTTAATAATATTGCTGAGTTTAAAGCTACATGGTAACAGATGCCAAACTAAGAAACGATCACCATGCCAACTAAGCAGTGATTTCATGGAAATACAAAAACATATTGTTTGGCCAGGCATAGTTTTGAGTTTCGAAATTTTCTTACGTGGCATAGCGGTGGATTATTAATGGTTTGTCTGCGACCAAGGAATTTCCATAGCAGCAAGTGAAGGATTGAGACAAAGTCATGAAATTTGAAACTAACTTGAAGTCTAACAACTCCATTAAAGTTTAGTGACCTAATTAAGATTTTGAAAAAACTTCGGTTACCACAAATGAAATTTACCCATACATAACAGTAAATGTGTTCACAGATGGCCGTTATTAATAACTGTAAAATAGTAGAAAAGGCAAAACGAACTACAAAGAAATGATTTTTTTTTTTTTTAATTCATCGCAATAAAAAGTAAGTAGAAAACAAAAGAATACTCACATATTCAAATTACCGGCGATTCTCCGCTCCGCTTCCCTGACGCACTCCAGAACCACCGGCTTTCCATTATCATCACGATATGCACCCTTTTACACAAAATAATAATAATAATAAATTTACATAAAATAGAATTCAGATTTAAAGTCATATTTTTAATAGACAAAAATTCCAAAATCCGAGCTCGTAACTTCAGATTCCACTGAACAAAGTGGATTAAAATCAACTATAATCTACCACTTGCTAGCAAAACCGAAAAAATCTTATACTCACAACTCCAACATTCACTTTTTCAGGACTAGGATCAGCAAGGAAAGCTTCGGTGACTCCAAGGATCGGATCCTTGGGAGCTGGCTCCACGTGCTTCCACCACGAAGTGGACAGGGATCGAACAGCTCCGGATTTGACGATCCGACCCGCACAAGCATTGCGAAGTAGCATCGCCGTTGGAGAGGAGAACAGAAGAATCGAGAAGGTGCGTATGCGACAGAGCTGAGTGTGTGTAAATTTATAAACGAAGCGAGCGACTCGGCGAAGTGTTAAGCGATTATTTAAAGGATTTTTTTAAGCCTCGAGAAGTGTAATGGGTGGAGTTTCGTTGTGAAAAGGGCCAAAATGCTGATGTTTTGTGACAGTTTTACACTGGGTTGAATTTTCTTTGATTAGCTCATTACTACAACATTTATCTTTGAAAAAGTGATGCAAAAAAACATATTAAAATGAATAATGCTATTCATCCCCACTGAGTTGAGTCCAAATCTATATGACAATTACATAATATTAAATAATAAACTCAATTAAATGAGTCATGTGACTTTGTATTTAAATGAATCCATCATTTAATGTCATGTAATTGCCACATAAACTGTGACTCAACTCCAGTGAGGATGAATAATATTACTCTATTAAAATTCTTGATATAATCCTTATCTCTTTTTTTTTCTTGTCCAAAGTCTTGTACTTATCCTTTATTAGACTCTATGAGCTTATCTCAATTTCAGTTATGAACCAACCAAAAAAATTTTCAATATTAGAGCAAATATTGTTGTTGGAAATTCGACTACCAGAAAGAACAAATAACAGAAAATAAAAGTAAAAAATGAAGTGAGGTATGCCAAGACAAATCTCCTTAAGACAGATTTTGCCCCCCAACAACGTGCAAACGAGATTATGGACGTCTGTCTCCCAAGATACAACGCTTCTTCCAAAGTTGATACTGTACAATACCAACCTGGTCGGTCGAACCAAAGAATGAACGTACTCGAACGGAATAACCATGAAAATATTGAAGGAATTTTTGCAAAATATGAAGAGAGAATGAATGAAGAAATCAAGAATATATTAATTGATTTGGTGTACAAAAAACGAATCTGAAGGTCTCTATTTATAGAGATTGAAGCGTCTCATTGAATGAGGGTGTGACATTTCATGAACTAGTGCACCACTTGGTCTAATACTTCCTAGCCATTGGATCGCACTGTTTCATGATCTGACGGCCCAGATTTAACCATGAAGAGTAGTGTCCATTCATCATGCCTATTCACCAATTTCTGAACAGTCACCGCCATGCAGTTGCCATGCGTACGTCCAACTGAACCAACTGCCACGCAGGATGAAGTGACACAAACTGTTACGTGTGTGCCACTTAGGATGCCAACTCATCGAGCCTCCCGTTGCCATGTCATCGAACCATAAGTCCATTTTTGAAAACTTTAAGACTCCACAACTCCTCGCGACGATGCATACATGCGCGGGCCGGGATCGGGACGGGGCACGACGCGAGTGGTGCGAAGCACCACTCTAGTGTTGGCTAGTTTGCTAGCCTTTGGCTAATCAAAGTTAGCTAAGTTGTAGATCACTTATTAAATTATAACTTGTACACACATCCCACTATATAAACAAGTCTTTTTGCTTGTAAACTTTCGATGTGAGATTTCTTACCATATATAAGACACTTAAAATTGGGCTTATCAACTTATGGGCCTATATTTGAGACTTTTCCAATTCACCCAAATTAATTGCCCACATAATTAAATATCACATTTAATTATTTAACACCTTATCAATTAATTCCAACAAATATAAAAGGAAATGCATGATCATGCAGCAGAAGATGAAGGGAGTGGAGATGAATGATAAATCAAGAAATGATGAAAGCAGAAAAAGTTTGCAGAATTTGTCATTTTGGTGATGAAAAAACATCATGTTGGAGTGTATTAATTTGATCATTTTTGGAGCAAGCGATTCAACCATGAAGATCTTGATTTCATGAATTGAAATTAAGTCATGGCATGCTGCAAATTCTTTCAACATGTGGAACATCCGAATAAAATTATGAAAGGACAACAAAAGTATAATCAACAAAAGTTTCACATAGACTGGTTTATTATTAAAAATTTTAAAATTGCAAGTGTTGGCGCGTTGAAGGTGTAAAATATACATGAATATATATGTCCCATCCCTAAATTTTTTTATCTATAAATAATTTGTTCAAGACTTGATTTAACTAAACATGCCGTGCCTTGCAGATTGTGTAAAATATGTGGAAAGGCAGTGAACATAACCAGCAATTTGGAGGACACCTCAATACTCATGATGGAGTGGAATGGGATGAGACTGGTAGCAACAACTTTAGACACTTCTCGAGAAAGTTCTTGTCGATGTAAAAATTCTTTATGCAACTTTCTAATGGCATGCTTGGTACTAGCCTTTGTCTTGCCATGGTTCTTTCGTGATGTTATTCTGTAGAGGGTCCTACATTTGATGGTTGATATTCATAATGGCCCACAAATGATACCAGGACGAGTTCTTTAAGGTTTTATATTCAACAACGTAGTAATTTTCATAATATACAGAAATATTGCTTCTGTAAGAATTGTGATCCAGCCTAAATTGAGAATGGTGTCAACTGAGTCACATTTGAGCATCCCAATTCAGAGCAAAATTCAGGGACGAAAATTAACTTTTTCATCCGGAACCAGACACGAGAAACTTTTCTTGAATATAAGCACTGCATATTATTTTTCTTTTCACTTTCCTATCCTTGGAGTACCTTTTTCATTGCCAAAATGTTACAGTCCCCTTCAGAGACAACAGCCTTAGATAATTGTGAACATTTACAGATAACCTGATATGTATATTTTTGTTTTGAAACGACCATGTTTGAAGATCCTACATGGAGAAGTTGAATGCTTAGAAAAAGCCATATCCGTCACTCCAGAATTTGTGAAGAAACTTTCATGATTTATGCCCCGACGAAAGGAAATTGAGAAAGTATAAGATCTTTTCACTAGAGTAGCAAAAATAATCAATTGAATTATGAGTAAATCTAATACTAAAATATTTTGCTGAATCTTGGTATTAAATTACCATTGTCAGGGGAAAATGAAGAGGATATGATCTTAAGCTAATGATATACTCACCTCATGAAAACATTGAAATTTCATTCACTACAACATCTCACAGCAAATACATAAATGTCGTTTAACTTATTTTACAATAACTCCATAAAATTATTTATTCATCAGACAAATTACTTTATGTAAAGTTTCTGGGCCACAACACTGCTACAACACAGCAACGAAAGCGAAACAGAGCTTAAAAATCTTTAGATGATTTCCACGTTTTCTGCAATAGCAACATGTAATAAGCTTCAAATAATCATCTTTTTGTGTTATCGTTAGATGGAAAAATCAATTGTGACAAAGAGACAAACCTTTCGTCTTATTCCACCTCAGATATTCTCTCACAAGATTCAGTTTTGATCTTCTTGAGCCTCGTTAGAACATCTGTCATATTAAGCCTCTTCTCGGACAAATCAGCTGTGCATTCTAGCGCTAGTCCCATGACCGATATGAAGAAGCTCTCTTTGGCTCGAATATTGTCTTCAACTGCATTTACTAGATCCACATCCACTATGTGCATTATTGCATCCGGGAATGATTCAAACACCCATGTCCTCATGGTGAACTCTCCAGCAAACATATCATGTGTTGGCTTCTTCTTGGTAAATGTTTCCATCAGCATAATCCCATAGCTATAAACATCCGCCATAGATGATATTATTCCCGTCGATCCATACTCTAAAAAATTGGCATATATGATCAAATTAACATGTCAAATGGTAAATGACATATTAATATACAGTTAGATTAACATTTGTGAAGAATTATGTGTATATTATTTATCTCTATATATGAACAATTAACATAACCATTTACCTGGAGCCATATATCCAATGGTGCCTAACGTCTTCGTCATTGAAATTCTTTGGTCTTCTGTGAAAAGCTTGGCAATGCCAAAGTCTGCAACATGGGCAACCATATCTTCATCTAAAAGTACGTTGTTGGGCTTCAAATCACAATGGACAATTGGAGAGGGATACCCATGATGTAGATACTCCAATGCACATGCCACATCTATCATTATTTCCAATCTTTGAGCTATATTCAGGAAATAGTTGCTCGAGGACAGCCATTTGGTAAGGTTTCCATTCGGCATATATTCCAACACTAAGGCTTTAAGATCAAGGTTAGAGCAACTGGTAATTACCTTGATAAGATTTCTATGACGAATGTTAATATCAATTCTGCCTTTGCCAATAAGATTCTCTTCACCAAAATTATCGGTTGCATTTATAACTTCATAATATGAAATCCTCTTGATGGTGATGGGAGAAGTGGACTGAGCTGAAAGAAGTGTATTTCTGCTACGGCGTCTTATTAAATAAACTACAGTAATGACCAGACACAATACCACAGCAATTGATGGCAAAATGTACTTCAAAACTATATTCTTGATAGATAATCTAGTTCTATTATATTTGCATGGCTTGACCTTAAATTGAGATGCTCCACAAAATTCTCTATTGCCTATGAAAAACTCTGAGGTAAAGTTCTTAAAAGGCCCTCCACTTGGAATTTCACCACTGAGATCATTGAACGAAACATTGAAATACTCAAGGTACTCCAGCTTTACCAATGACTTGGGGATCACACCATTGAGATTGTTATTTGACAGATCCAGCTCTCGCAATGAAATCAAATTACTGAAAGACTCAGGTATAGGACCATGCAATCGATTGTTTGAAATCAATAAATTTTCCAAATTTATAAGTTGCTCAATAGTGCTTGGAATCTCACCTGAGAACTGATTTCTTGAGAGATTTAACTCTCTCATCGCCTTCATGCTGCCAATTTCTGGATCCAGCGAACCATTGAGAAAATTATATGACAGGTCCATTATTTGAATTTCCTTGTTAGTCCATAGTGTGGATGGGATGGTTGAAGTCAACGAGTTGTTACCTAAATAAATTTTTCGTAAAGAAGTAATATTTCCTAGACAAGCTGGTAGCTCCTGAGAGAGATGATTACCACCCAAATCTAGGAGATAAAGATTTACCAAATTGCAAAGGTTGTCAGGTATTGACCCGTGCAGGTTAT